CAAGCCATGTAGTTTTTGAGTAACCTTTATTGTGGCTTCAACACTGAGTGGCTAAGTGCATTGGTTGAAGATGATTCAGGCTGGATGAAGAATTTGTTCTGAGTGATTTCTTGTCAACAGGGAAACTGGGTTCTTTGGGCTGTAAGAGTGCAGTCTTACTACTCTACATCAAAACCACAGATGACATACTCAGCCAGTTCTCAAGGTGTTGTTAAACACATAAGAAACTAATGTGGATGCACCTTAGTACTTCATATAGAGCGCAGGACTCTTGTACAAATGAATCAATCAGTTTTGAAGGCTTTCCTTCTTACCACAATCTCCATGCCTAAATACAAATTATCAATTCTTTCATGTTCCAGTTAAGGAAGGTAAAAAGGTTTGTCATAAAAATGATACTTACATTGCCAATAAGGTTAAGCCTATGGTTGAGATCATAAGACCCTTTATTCTTCTTCCCACTTATTATCTCCAGTAACAATTTCCCAAAGCTGAAAACATAGGATTTTACTGAGAATTGCTCATATTCTAGCACCATAAAACCACTGCAGAGAACAATCAAGACAAATCATATCAGCAGGGAATTTGTAGTAAATTAGGTGGCATAGAGATAGAACTTATTAGGTTCCAACCACTCTCTATGTGTCCCCCTCAAACTGTTCTCCGCCAAATGTTCTAGCCATGCCAAAGTCTGAAAATTTGGGGCTCATTTCACTATCAAGCAAAACATTGCTTGCTTTGAGATCTTCATGTATGATCCTCAATCGAGAATCTTGATGTAGATAGACAAGACCTCTAGTGATTCCACAAATAATGTGAAAACACCTTGACCAATCTAAAAGATTCCTTCTTGTATGATCTATCATGTAACATGTTCTTTGTATTAACGTAGTCTTCAAATAGAGTTTTTGAAAAAGAGTTGCATTGAAATATGGAAACAATTTATGATGATTTTTTTTTTTTCTTTGAACAAGGGCATTTTTAACAAATATTTCTACCATACCATGGGGGAGGGGGGAAAGTGATCCCCAGGGAATTGAACATCAAACCCAGGGTGGTGTTCCCACTAAAGGGCAAGTGACTAACACTAAAGGGCAAGTGACTAACCACTTGGCCCAGGCATGTGGAACAATTTCTGAAGAATTTATGCTGTGCCCACGAAGTTAATTGAATAGTTAATAGGAATCCAAATCAAAAGTGAAGGAGTCCAAACTTCTGTTGGGCATGTATTAGAAAATCAGCATTTTCTCCTCCCCTGAATGTTGCATCATAGAAGCTTTACAAGATTCCAATGTTGAAGTTTGGATATAAGTGCAGCTTCTTTTTTGAACTCAACTAATCCTTGTCCAAAGCTTCTTGAGAGCCTCTTCACAGAAATTTCTTTCCTATCCAGCAGAGTACCCGACAAAAGTGTACTTGTAAAGTTAATTTCTTTCTTAACAAAGACTTCTTATTCTAAGTCATTTTTACTACAGCTTTGAGCATTTACCTTGGACATAGGCCCATAGCTACCATCTCCAAGCTTTGTTCTTTGAAGAGAAGTTACTAGTGGCCTTCAATATTACATCTAACTCAAATTAATTGGAGTTCCATATCTTCATTTTGCCTTTCTTCAATGCTGTCACTTTCTCTTCCTAAAAGGGCAGTAAACCTAAACAGCTTAACCTCAAATAGAAGAATGGTTGAGTGTTTAGGGTATTCCACAACTTCTATGTTTGCA